ATTTAGCCAGAGGGATGGAGGAAGAGGGTGAACAGGACACAAAAAGCCAGAACAAATACTAAGCTGCAGCTCTTGGCTTTAAAAGCTAACCGGGGATATTTAGGGATTATTTCTAACCCTTGTAGAAACTCTCTCCAAATCTGCCCAGAGCAGTTTTGCTTAAAGAAATGACAATGGCAGTGACAGGAGAAAAGCTAACTTCAAAATCATAAGGTTTACAGCTTGATTTGCACTTCAGAAAGTTTTTCCCCCCACTTACTCCACTGCTTGAAACAGTTTGAATCAGGCTCTGATAGAGGGCAGCGATTTTTGGTTTTTTTCAAAAGCTGAATTGGACAGCTGAATGCTGTCCAAACTGTCTCTTTCCTCCGTGGTCCAAGGGTCTGTCACTGAACACTTAAGCCACAAAAATAAAATACCTGAAGACTATTCTCTCAGGTAACAGGCAATAGAACAAGGGGAAACGGCCTCAAGTTGCGCCAGGGGAGGTTTAGGTTGGACACTAGGAAAAATTTCTTCACTGAAAGGGTTGTCAGGCACTGGAATGGGCTGCCCAGGGAAGCGGTCGAGTCCTCATCCCCAGGGGTATTTAAAAGACAGGCAGATGAGGTGCTCAGGGACGTGGTTTAGTGGTGGGATGGCAGGGTTAGGGGAACGGTTGGACTTGATGACCTTAAAGGTCTTTTCCAACCTAAACGATTCTAGGATTCTATTCAGTCCGAGAGAACCAAAATCCATCTGCTAGCGAGGGGAATATCCATCTGTTCCAGTGAATCCAAAAAGGTGTTTGTGTTTCTCAGTGAACCTTGAGGTTTACTGGAGAGGGAAGCACTTCACCAACAGCTGAGACAACAGGGGACAGAGGGAACAAAGCCGTGACGACGACAACAGTGACAAGGCAAGAAAGACGGACACATTTAGACAGGGAGCTGAGCAGCAAAAAAAAGGAAAGAGTAATGCAGGTCACTGCCTGAAGCAGCAGGGGTAGTCAAGGAGCCTAGAAATTAGAGGACTGATGGGAATCTCCTCTCTATAATATAAATTTGAGATTGTGCAAATTTCTATCTTGAGAAATCTTTGACAGGAAATTCAGTATGTGTTCGTATGAATCCCCCTCTCAGAAGAGAGTAGAGAAAGACGGAGAAAAGGGCCTGACCCGGGATCAGTAACTTTACAGAACTCAACCAACAGCAACAGGAGAGATGCCAAAAGCAGAGACTCCATTCTCTTCATTGTCCTTCAGGACTGAATGAATTCCCTTTGTGCCACCACAAAACACACAACCCAGTACAGCCAAGGTCAGAACTGAGTGACACTTGCCAGGCCTCTACGATCGCAACACACACCAGACATGCCACCTGAACAGAAAATTTGGGCTACAAACTTACACAGCCACTTCTTCAGATCGCAAAGATGCTGCATGCTGCCAAGTGCCCCAGCCCCTGCAGCAGGGAAAGGTGCTGAGTTTTAAGCACATAACTTGTGGTCTGAAATTCTTTGGCTGGAGGGCAATTTAAAGGGGGGGATGGATGGACAGAGAACTGCAGTAACACACAAATATGGGAAACCGAGCAAAATTTGAGATCCCACAGGTTTGTTCTGTACTTACATAAATGTTAACAAACCCTGAAGTGAAGGCTGATGCCTTAGGTCCAACTCACCTTGTTCAGTCAGCTGTTAGCAGGTACCAAGAAGTGACAACAAACTGTAATTCTTTTGAAAAGGCTGGCGTGCAAACTCCATGAGGTGCTGTTCAGACATCCCTCAGCAGAGTCTAGCCAGAGTTGTTTAAACACTGCTTTGAGCAGACTGGGCCAATGCAAGTATTATAAACTGCAACCAAAGACCTGGCCTGAGCACAACAAAAGAAAAGCAAAGCTGACCTGCTCAGTATTTCATCACCCCTGACATTTAGAAAATTTGCTTATATCTCTCAGCATACAGTTTGTGGAGCTACAGGAAAACAAGACATCAAAATGTTCCTGTGATGTTAAGATCAAGACTGGCTCCTTCTGACCCCAGCTTTATTCAACTTTCCTTCTCGGCAAAACCACTAGCAGATGTCTCTTTGCATGGCATGGGGCTTGTTGGCCATGACTTCGCTTCCAGAACCGCACTTGCTTTACTGTGTTCTCACTCCCACTCCTGTTCTCACCTCCATCCAACAAGGAACAGGGCAACAGCTTTAAAAAGTTTGAGGAAGATGCTAAAGAGAATTTGAAGAGTGATGTTTTGTGCTCATGCTGATTGACATTCCTCCTTTCAGACCACCTCGGTGGATTATTGTCTGTAAAAGGGATCCATTAAGCAGCTTCCTAAGTCGGTTTCATGATTAAGCGAGGAGGAAATAGTTCAGTGTAGACATGAACTCATTTGGATTGGTGCCCTCAGGCAAACACAACTACAGTGGAAATCTTATGCATATGAAGTGTAATAAGCCAGAAGGGAAAGGAGGTCAGATTTCAGGGAGTAAACTGCTTATACCGTAAGCTAGATCAGCACAACAGCACCAGAGCAGAGCGAGATGAGATCACTCATTACAGCATCGCAAAGCCCAAAATTAAGAATTACCTGCATGTGGATCCTTGCTGCATTGCATACCCAATGCAGAAGTTTTAGTAAATTCTATTCTACATCTTTCTTGTATTCTCCAGCCAAAACTTGTTTCAAGTTTGGCTTTCAGTGCTTCCAACACTGAAAAGCAGAAATGATTGTCAGGAATTCTGTTACTGCCAGTCCTGTCAAGCACTACATTTCACTCAAGCCTACGTAACAAAACAAAACTGGGTAGGGGGAGAAGGGATCCAAGAGTAAGTGCATACAGTCCAAGTAACCAACTGGCAGAAAATTTTTTATTTAGAGAAAAGGGACTCCATCCTCTGGAAGAGAAACATTGCAATTTGTGCATTAATTATAGCTCATTTACCTTCCTTACCTAAAGGCCTGTATTTCTGCCTCCCAACTGCATTTAGAAGCAAAGGCCTGAGCTTTTATACAAACAAGCTAATGGATTCTAATGGCTTACCCCAATGCAGTGTCAGTTAATCACAGCAGCACTTCATCTTCCCTGCTGCATTCAGGGAAGGAAAAAAAAAAAAAAAAAAAAAAAAAAAAAAAAAAAAGAAAAGACTGCATCCATATTCATCCATCTCATCTAAACACCTCTTACTTCAGTTTTCAAATTCCATTATTCTCATCATAGTCAAATTTTCTCATGCTTTCATCTTAGTAGAGTCTTTCCTCTCCCTTAAATTTAGGAGAAAAAAAAATATCCATCTTTAGCTCCCTATGTTTCCCAGATCACTTTTCACCAAGTAATTCCAAAAAAGTAATTCATTTATTTTATAGTAGTTACCAGTTTTGCTCATTGTTTCTTCAACTCTAAGTTTACTTCATAGGAAATCAGTCCATATAAAAAAAAAATTCCTGAACATTACTTTCACTTTTCATTTAAAGTACCTAGTACTCAAGCAATGCTCCAAAAACCAGGAACCAACAACCAAAAAAAAAAAAAGAATAATCAATCAGAAACCAAAACACAACCAACCACACTCAGATACAACCGCTTAATTCTGTATCTGCTTTTTAAAGATTTTTCACCTTCCGTTCCCAACTGTCCCCAAATCCTGTTCCCACCACACGTCGTTTCTTTCGGTTGCATTCCATTTCCTTACCTCTGTTCCTGTTTTTTTCAGTTACTCTTCACTTGACACACTCCCAATTCTTTGTCAAGACAAGTCTTTCTGCATGGGACTGGACTGGAGACCCAATTGGACAGTACGGTCACTGGTGCTTCTCCACATCAAGAGTAAACAAGACTCATCTATCCAATTTCTTTCCAGTACCTTTTACCTATTTAGCCCACTGGGGCTACCTGCTCAGTCTTTTCCTCTCCTCCCTTTCCCTTCTCTAGTCACTTCAGGTCAGTAGATGCTTTCTCACAGCATTTCTCCTTGGCAAGTACCACTCAGTCCATTTTTCCTTATTCTAAGTTGTGTCCTATACAGGAGGCCTGTTTTTAATGTCATGGTTACAGGAAAGGTATAAAGTAAATAATTAATGCCGACATTCCACTAATCCCACCCATTTCGCTAACAGGTTAGTATCACATGTGCACTCCACCCCATCTGACTCATACCAATTAATTTTCCTGTCTCTCTAGTCCATGAACATCACATCTCTACTTGCACTCCCCATCATCAGTGTAACATCTTTTATTTCACTTGGCCCAAACTCTTGACAAAAATACCACTAATTAGAAAGAAACAGGGTGCTTAGCATGGCTACGAAGAACAGAGTAGGAAGGAACACATGTACAGAAAACCTGCAGCTCTTTCCAAAAGGTGTAATTTCTCATGAGGAATGACAAGGCACAGGGGCCAAACTTCATGTCACAATACCAGAGCACAGTCTGTCTTTAGTCTATCTGTCCTGGGGGTTGACAGTGAACATCCTCAGAAGAGAAAGACGGCAGACCAGAAGACCTCACCTCTCCGCAAACAAGAAAAGAACCACATCTGTTCTTCAAGGTAAACAAAGGAAGAAGAAAGCACGTGAAGAAGCCAAAAGAGTTGTAGCTGCCAAGTTACTTAAAACAAAAACCAGACTAAAGTGCCAGCCATTCAATCCATTCCTTGACTCCTTTCAATTGTACAAGCAGTATTATTGTACAGGCAATTATTTGTGTATGTACTATTTTTCCTAGGGCACTTAATGTTCCCTTGCTTTTGCCAAGGTTGTCCACCTAGCATCTAACAAATCCATCCACAACTGTGACGACATCTTCTTGATAGTCTACTACGTAAGCATTAAGTTGCTGAATAAAGCCTTTCGCTTCTGAACTTTTGAAAGGTGGTGTTACAGAAAGCCATGCAGCAGAGTACAACTGCTCAGTAAGTCAACATTATGTCTCAAACAAAGCATTACAAGAAATATTTAAATCGCACTTTATTTTTCAAATTCAAAAATAACAATTAGCTTTATTTAACATGTTACACATCTCACAGATTTAAAATATCATGCTCTGTTTAAATATCTGAGTGACAACACTATACAAATAAAATGTTACACAAAATATATTTAAGAAAATGTTTTGGTCTTCAATCTGAACAATAAATAGACAGGCACTTCTACATATACAAAGGAAGCAACCACTATTTAGGATAACTCTCATAAGCAAGATGTGGAAATACAGAAGAAAATTGAGTTTTGAGAACATATTTAACTCTACATGAGACATCATGCAACTTCAAAGTTTGTTTCAAAATTTGAAACTCTTAGGATCTGCACAAGTCTAGATTTGCTACCACTTTATAGGAGCTCCAAACCATGCTCTCGTAAGCAATGTGCAATTTCAGTTACTTGCATCATATCGAGCTACCTGATCACATTTAGTGCCAAAACAGAAAACAAGGATTGACCAGAGCAGCTTTTCACATAAATAACATGAGCGACAATTCAGCTTTACCTCACATAAGCTTGTGGCAGGGGGCAGACCTAACTATACCTACTGCCCAGCCCCAAACAAAATCTGTTCTTCCTTTTCCTTATATATTCAGCTCTTTTTATGGGGAGTTACAAACAGTAATATGCTTTTTTCGTAAAAAAAAGCATCATCTAATAAAAGGGTAAATCCTTCAAACGCAGGCATACTTTGCACAAAAGATCCTAAGTAAAGGAGAAAATACTGTTCCGGGGTGCAAAAAGACGGAAAACTATAAATTAAAAAAATTCAATAGTTAAAAGTCACATAAGAGTGTTTCATACTTAAAGTAAAACTACATTCCTCCAATTTGTGTATTTTCAATTTACAGTGGTTTCCACACACCCATACACAAACACTACTCAAGGAAAAAAAAAGTATCTTCCACCATCACATTTAATGAAAGATGCATTGTAGTAGGCAACCCCTGTTTCCAATACAGCTAACGGTCACTGACAGCTAGTTACATCCTCGAAGTCCTTTTAAAAATTAATTTAAGACAAATATTGAAACATAATGACCACCAGGACAGTGGAAAAGTCAGGACCAAGTCTTCAAGCCATCCCCTCAAATTTAGTATTATTCTTATTTTCAGAAGTACAGGAAAAAGTTTCCAGAGAAAACTGAACTATTAAACAGAGCTTCAATGGCCCACCAAGAAAGTCAGACCCAAACTTGGGAAGTTATTTGGACTTAAGACACTTACGCACATTACTTTAACAATTTAAGTGTGGATCTTGCAAGCGTGTCCAAATCTTAATCATTTCTTGAGGTTTTCTACTATGTACTAACATTAAGTTTGTGTAGGAACATATGTTATTTCTGTATTTCTCTTCGATATCAAATGTTCTGAAGCCTTTGTGTTTTTCCGGAGCAAGCCCAAGCTTCTGAAGGCACATTCCAGTATAAACATCATCAATAGGGTAAAGGAGTACCTGGTCAGATGCATCATTCAGTCTTAACGCCAGATCACCAGAGTACAGAAACCCACCTCCTCCTGCATATGGGGGATATGAACCTTCATAAACACTTTCTGGGATGTAGTACTTCAATTTTTTTTCTCTATGAGGTCCAGCATCTTTGATGACATCACCTATAAATAAGTCTTTGGCTTTGTCCTTTGATAAGCTCTTCAAGTAATCCAGGATCTGATGCGTATTCACAAAAACATCATCATCACCCTTAAAAATAAACTGGACATCTGCGCAACTGCTGCTGACCCACTTAAGAAACAGCACCTCTTTCAGAGTTAAATTGAAGAAAGTGTCTCTGTAGTTCCAGAGGAGAATGTCTTGGTGGGTTTCACTCTCAAATTTTATCATGTCTGAAAGATCAGGAAAATTATCCTCTGGTGGGGTTTGTCCAAGTAAGAAGACCCTTTTGACTGTCACATCCCCCGATTCTATTTCCTTGCCCCAGGATTCCCTAATTGCTTGCCTTCTATCAAAATGGGGTGTAAGTGACTTAATAGCCAGCAGCAGAAAAGGTTTTTGTTTGCACTTGTTTGGCTGATCCATTAATAATGAATAATTTCTACATCTCAGATAAAGCAGAAAGTCTTTGAACCTGTCTGGCAAGTTTTCAAAGTCACTAACCTCTGAAGGTACCCATGGGTCAGGGTCACAGGAACTGAGAACACTTGAGTTAGAAAATAAGTTCTCTTCCACAGTCATATTGGGAAGCAAGGTCAGAATAGGGTTGTACAGCAGTTCAAGTTTCTGTTGCTGTTTGTTCCAATAAGCTTTGTGAGGAGTATATTTTCTCCAGAATTTGCTGTGTGGTATAATAACACGGCCTTCTGCATTCTTCTCTTGGCTGCCACTTTTTGAGACTTCCACAATCACATAAATAAAAATGTTTACCATCATCAGAATTCCCAGCAGCTTTAATCTTCTGCGTCCAACACTCATTTCTCATATCTGGAAAGAGAAAAAAATGACATTTTTAGCCTTCTTCCTATCGAGGTTTTGATCTTATAAAAATGTCACCTACTTTCAGACGAAGAATGTGCAAGTTAGTAGCCTAAAAACAGAGGTTACCTACACTCTCCCCAAAAAAATCAAAACCTAATCTACTTCTAATACATGCATACCTACAGCTAGTAATGGTTTGGGGTTTCATTGGCAAACAAGAAGCTGGTAAGAATGTAAAATTTCCATTTGCTACTTAGGGATTTTACACAGCATTTCACAGTGCGTCTAAACTACCCAGCAGTTTTTGCTCCTCATTTAAGTCTCCTTGAAACACTTGACTGTATAATAAGTAGAATCTGAGCCCTCGGTTTGGCAAAGGCAGGCAGAGAAACTTTTTTTTTCCTGCTAGTAAGGTGAGCTTAAGGGTATAGAATAAATTGCTATATGATAAGGTCAGTTATTTTTAAATTAAGTTTCAAGCTTTTATACTTGCACTCTTATACCTTCCAACTACATAATAGGCAGAGCTGAATTTTAAAGCATACAATTTGTATCTGTCCATTTCACTTGGCTGTTCCTTTGGAGAGAGGCTGACAAAACTGGCCAGCTGCATTGCTGGTATTCAGATCTCTGCAGACAGAAGAGAACATTAATTTTGAATTTCCCCCCCTCACCCCCCCGACTGGAAAAGGCAGAAAGTGGCAGCAGAAAGTGAAAGGGTTATTATACCTAGGAAGGAAAAAGAAACTGAAGATAAATCAAAAGAGAGGTTTCCCATATACGCAAGACCAGGAATAGTCAGTGTACCTCTCTGTTGTAGCAAAGGTTATTCTGCAATCCCTCTCCAGTTTTTACGGAGAGAGAAAATAGGTCAGGTGCATAGTACAAGAAGCAACATGAAAACAGTGTGTTCCTCTAAAGTAGTGCTTATCAAACTGTTTACTAGCTCAGGGGGATATCTAAATTACATACAATTTAACAAACCATTCTAAATCAGGAAGTCAGACTAGATAATAATTCAGAATTGGTAAGAAAGTTAGTAAGACTACATTTAAGTCAGATACAGAACTCATTGTCAAAGATGCTTTCAATTGCCAGGAATATCAACGGTTATTGGAAGACCAGAAAAATCTAATGAAACAAAAGATCTGTAATGGCTGTTAAGCCCAGCTGTAAACACTGCCTCAGAACTCCTGAAGTCACAGAGCAACAGCAGTCAGGAAGATACACTTGAGAAGCACACCTTGTACTTGCTGCTCTTTTCATTTTATTTCCAGCCATCACCAGACACCTGAGCTAGACTGACCCTTCATCTCTTCTGGTTCGACCAGTCTTACTTTCTTTTACTCCTCAGCATATTAAACACAAAATTTAGTAAGAAAGCAGAAGGTAAATAATCAGTAATCTCCTCCTCCCCCCCTCCCTCCCCCAGAAACAACGGACTACTCGGAGAAAAATCCCTACTCTTCCTTCATTTGACCTCATGTACCATCTGCATATTTATCTTTGCATACGCTCAGGTCAGATCTGCTTTTTCTTCTATACCTCAAAGACAAAAACCTACTTGCAGTCAGTGCCATCATTTAAGCTAAACAGCTGAACTGTCAGAAAGCACCGGCTGGCTACACAGACCTGAAAGAAACTTTACCTTCCTCTTTCTGCCACAGCAGCTTCCACTAAAAACTGATCATTATATACTATTTATTATTAGTGTTATTAGTAGTAGTATTATATACTATTTTTCTTCACTTCCCTTTCAGTACACAAGAAAATACTGGAGAAGCAGCTGTCCTGTGTTTTGCACTATTCCATGCAATTCAGCGTGCACATCAGTGCTTATGTACCCTGTCCTCTATAGCACTTCTCACTAGAACAACAAATGGCGTGGTATTTGACCTATGATCCCAGGATTCCTGGAGACAACAGGGTGAGAAGATCCCCCCTACTAATAGCTAAGAAACACAGGATTGTCAAGAGAGCAGTCGGAGCCTGATTTTCCAGGATAGCACTACACAGCTCATCTGTTCACAGCCCCCAGCGACTAAGCTATGACTATTCAACACCTCTTAAGTCATCTGGATGCTTGACCTGAGACTGTTATGAACACAATGAGACACCATTTGCAAAGACTTGACTTTCAATCATTTAACAAAATCCTTCAAATCACTAAGTCTTTTGGGTAAGCATTCAAATTCTTTAACTACAAGATCCTCCTTAATCTTCCGGTTTTTTCACTTCTAGCCTTGCATTCCTCTGCAGCAAATGAGACAGGGATCCTACACAGAAAAAAAAAAAAAAAAAATCTCCATTTACTGCTAAACTTGGTAGAACTTTTAATCAGAAAAAGTACCAGTCTGGCAAGATGACACTGGTTTCATCACATAAAGCACGATAAATGCTATCAGTTCCACATGTAAATACTTCCAGTATCATTTTCAGTCTCCTTTTTAAAAAGCTATCCAATATTGGTGATAAAATTAGTATTTCTGAGAAAAGATAAGTAACAAGTGACATCTGATAGCAATACAAGTAAGAGTTTTATAAGAGATGAACACACCCCCAATTTTGCATTAAAGCATTCTTCTCTTCTGTAATCAAAAGCTATCTACATGTGGTTTGTATCAATTTGTTAAGAATAGAACTCATTAAGAACATCAAGCCAATACTAGGGCTACCAAGTAAAAAAGGGATAAAAACTGCTTTGTTAAAAAAGTGTCCTTTTCCTGAACTAGACAAAGACCGGTTGTATTAAACACTTACTGATAGCATTAGATCTAGATTCCTGAACTAAAAGCAAATAGAAAACAATCAGATTTCAGAAAGGCTGTTTCTATAAATTGAAATTGAATCTGCAATTTTGCAATTAATATATGTTAGCTTTAATTATTACACCTGAAGACAGGAATTGATAAGAGCATGCCAGTTCAGTAATTTCACATTAAGTGAACTGGATTTATCACAAAACACAGTTACAACACTCACAACAATGGAGGGGTGTTGTGTTGCATTTTTTAATGTTGTTGCTAGTGGAAGCTTGGGGTTTTTTGTTTTGGGTTTTTTTTTTTGTTTGTTTGTTTTAAGTAAACACCCACCATGTCTCAAGGCAAATCTCATTTCTTCATCTGCTTTGCTGACACTGCAGTAATTGACCAAAGGGCCAGCACGTTGCAGATTTTGTGCGCTGGGCAGCTTGCTAAGGAACAGCATTGTAGAGTACATAGACAGCGCCCATTTCCTACTTATTGCTTAGCGACAGCGATCTGGACAGATCACAAAAACTTTCTCCTATTCCAGTAACAGCTTATTCTATCAGCATTAAAATTACAAAAATTCCCAGCTGCCTCCTTTGACTGCCGAGAACAGATCTGTTAGTGAAGCCAAAAACAAACTAAAAGGGATCTAGTTCATACTGAAATCTGATGCATTTTTATAAGTGTTCTGTTGAAAAACCCAGATGATCAGTAAAAAGCAATATTCTATTTGAAAAATTCCGGCTGCTTTAGGTGTTAAAAAAGAAAAGGTTCGAATACATAGCTAGCTAGCAGAAAAAGCAGAACACAAGAGTAAACACTATATATCAGTAAAGCAAATCACAGGGAACCTCTGGAACAAAAAATCCTGCAGAAATTTATTCCAGCCAAAGGTGATCTGATACACAGTTTTTCAATGCCTGTTTTCAACTTCTCAGCTACACTGATATGAAGACTGTTTTAGCAATCAGTTCAAGTTTGTATAAACCATCACATCTCTGCTTATGCAACTTCCAGCTGTGCAGAGTTATGCGTCAGTGTGTACATAAAGTCCATTTGTTCAAAGCTTTTAGAAAATATCCATGTGGCTAGGAAAAAAAAGGGGTTAACATTAACCATACTCTGGATAACCAAGGTTTTGCTACAGATACATTAATTGGAAAGATTGATTCTGCAGAAATGGGGGGAGGTGCCCTCTTCAGCTCCACTCCACTCTCACACTTCACTGCAGTCAAAACCAAGGTATTGATAGAAAGGAACGGACTTATAGAACCACAAAAGCAGTAGTGGGATCAAGAGATGGGTGGAAAAGGCAAGCCAGCAGAACCTGGGAAGAAAAACAGCTTCACCGTGGGACCAGGCAGCAATCAATAAAACAAGATGAACCACAACAGAAGAAGAAAATGGGTCTTACGAAGAAGCCACAAGCTACAAAAAAAGATCCCAAACACCCCAAAAGCTTTCAGTCCAAATAACATTAATGCAAAATGATGAGAAACTGTTCACATGTTCGTTTTAAACAGTCTTATTTTATGCTTTATCTCAAGAGTGAATGTATTCCAAATGCTTGTAAGGAGCCTATTTGGAAGTCTAGAAGATTTGGCATGAAATGAGAAACACACAGAATCACTCTCCTGAGCTGGAAGGGACCTGCGAGGACCCAGTTCAACTCCTGACTCCACACAGGACAACCTAAAAGTTCAAGCATATATCCAAGAACATTGTCCGAACACTTCTTGAACAGAGAGTATGTGCACTCCATCCAGTTCCAGGAATTAATTACACAAGAGACACTTTTTTCTGGATGCAAGAACCTATACAAACAGGGGCCATGATGACCCCTGACAAAAGACAGGGGTTACTTCTGGAGGAAGGCCACGCTCAAGGTCAAAGCCAAGAACAAGTACATCTAAGTGTACCAGCCCCTAACTAAGGGCACACATGATTCATCAGTTTGAATTTCTCAGACTGGAGTTGGGATCCTGCAGATGAATTCTGATTAGCCCTGTTACAGCACTTGATTTTCTGTAATGACGTCACAAAATTAGTATGTGAAAAACGTGATGACAGCTTTAACTTCTTTTTTCCTCTACACTGATGCTATTAAGACATTGTTATGCACAAATATAAAATTAAATCTCTAACTGAGGTTTAGCTATAGGAGAAGAAAGGCAAGAGAAAGAGGCAGATGTTGCAAAGAAACAGCTAAAAAAAGTGAAGTGTATTTGTAAGTTCAGAAAAAGCAATCCTCTACAG